GTGCTAATCCCCCCTGCAACTTTCTGAGCTTACAAATAGTTCCCGCGATGTCCTGTACAACTTTCCCTACTTCCAATCTAACTTTCCATACTAATAATACATTTTTTTTGACTTAACAGAATTTTCCTCACTTTCAATATAAATTTTTCATTGCAAATCTCCATAATTCCAAACAGTTTTCTTGACCTCAAATAGAACTTTCCAAACTTTGAGATTTCCAATAAGTTACAAACTTGCGCAAGTCTTTCCTTATTTCTAATACAATTTTCCCCGACTAACGATACAACTTACCATACTTCCAAACAGCTTTCTCGACTGGTTACGACGATTTAACTTTTTATACTTCCAATGAAAATTTCTTTGCATGTATTCAGACTTCTATTAAAACTTTTCTGACCTCCAATGTCTCCATACAAGTTTTCAAGTCAACTTTCTGCCTTCTAGCATTAAATCCCCCCCCCCCCCTCACACAGAAACTTAGCAGAACTTCCAAGTACTTAGTTTCACTTGGAAAACCATAAAATCGTAAGTAATAAAGTTTTTTCTCACAAGTCATGCACAATACAGTGAACGATAGACATCAAATCATTTCCAGCTTACTGGCCTCGTGTTTTTTTTTGCCCAGATGACATTGATAGTCAGTTTGCAAGGGTGCCCTTTATGAAAAAATTGCATTATCCACTTTCTTATTCTTGATACGTTTATTGTTTTCTTTACTTGATTTAAACCTTCAAGCTAAGATAAGCTTATCAGTATTCAAGTGCATCACGTTTCCACTCGGAAACAAACATCTGTTGCATTTGATTGCAAACTCCTGTTTAACCCAATGAGACATTTTCATCAATATTTCCAAAAAGATGCGAACCAGATGCACCATGATTATATATTGGTTAGTAAGATTTTAAAATTTGAGAAAGATTGAACAAACATCACTTCAGTTATCCTTAGAAGACATGTTAAAGACAACGAGGACAAAAGACATTGCAGCCATTAGGACATAACACTTCATTATCATTACAGGTCAGGTAAAAATAAGTCAACTATTTTAAATCAATCTCAAAACAAAACATGCATCAGTCCCACCATGAGTAACTTTGATTGAAATTGGTTAAGCCTTTCTGAGAAACTATTGATAACATCCAAGCGTTGATTTTGTTGTTGTTGACAGAATGGTTTAATGGCTGGTCAAAGTTCTACCGACCGTGAAACAAATTGACGTGCATATGAAATCTATTATGACTTGCCTTGCCGCAAGATCGTGCCTGATCAGACCAATCAGAGAGCAGCGCGTTTGTCAACACGTTATTTTGCAATGCATCAAACTCTCTTGTATATATGCTTTGACTAAACTGTAAAATTGGTCAACGGTATTGGATTGACAGAACCTAAACAAAAGTCCCTGCTTCAGCCTACATCTAATTACACAAGATGAAAATCCTCAGGGGCAGAGCTAAATCACAGAACATTCTACTGAGCAGTGTGTTTCTATGGGCTCTGTGTGAAGTCAAAAAAACAGCACAAACTAAATATAAATAAATGCACATGGAAGGGTAAATCTACTGTGAAATACTTTATTTTAGCCGGAATTAATTTTCGCTTAAAAAGACTTTTCTGTATGGAATTTATTTTCACTGATTTTTGATGAGTTGAATGTAAAATAAAGAAAAACAGGTATGTTCGCGGGATTTTATTTTCACTGAAGCATTCTTTCAGTGAAAATATTTTTGCAATAGTTATGTTGTTTTAGTCTAAACAGAGTTTTTGATCATTGTTTTCACGAGGTGTGGATGCAAAAACGGTGAAAATGCTCGGATGTTCGCTCCCGAGAATGCCTTCAAGATAAACACTGTAAGGAAAACACACCATAATTTATTAAGAAAAAGTTTAATGACAAAAAGTTTAAACTACACTAACAATTACAACTTACAATTAAATGAATTCAATAATGAAATCAAAATACACGATTTTGGGATTTAAAAAAGGTATCTTTAACACTACCATATATCCATGTTTATTTATTATCAAAGACGAATAAATGAAAATCGTCGGGTTAAAATATTGAATCTGTACAAAGTTGTTAAATAGTGCTTGGTGTCAGCTATGATATTATCTGAAAACAAACCAAAGCAAATTATTAAAAATGAGAATGAGATTAATTGGATAGTTTACAGTGTGCGCAAACAAGATTCGTACAGGGAGTTAAACTCTTCATGAATATTGAAATATAGCGAGACTTATTTGCGATATAAAATGATCTAATGCTATGCAAACTTCCCCCCTGGCACAATAAAATGAAAAGGTCCACCGAAAGACGGGTATCAATTTTGTTTTGATTATTAGGGATATTGTAAGATTGTTGAGACTACACATAGGGAGTTGTGAATTATATGTCTGAATCTTATTCACGGTTGTTACAGTTGATTGGGTTATTGAAACATTGACAGAGACTTTTACAGGGAAGTCACAAGTTACCCTTACAGATCTAATTTGCTTCCACTGTAATATGTAATTATCAGTAGTAAATGCTTTTATTGGAGTAGGGATTATTGACTGAACTGAAGACAGAGCTTCACAAATGAATTATAGCCGACTATGGTATTTGGATCAGTAGAGAATGAAACATGAGTTGGGGAAAGAAAACATGTCTATTGCTCTCAGTGAATTTCTAGTATTGTGGTTTTCACACAAGAAAAAAAGATCACTACAAACTCCATTGAGCTTCATATCTTAACCTTTTGATGGCCATATTTTTTTTTCTGGCAAAATTTTTGTGCAACGTTTTATCCGTTTTCTATATTTTTAAAAATAATTTAGGACCAAACGAAAATATTTTTAAGTCAAAATTTATCACAATTTTGAAACAAGCAGCCTGTCAGCTGAGATAGCTCTGCTGTTACCTAATGCACATTTCAATTAAAGAACTGAAGATATCATTAGAAAATGAACAATATGTATAGTATCAAAGCAATCAGACTTGCTGTTTTCAACAAGAATTGGAAAATATCACTTTTTACCAAAAATGACAGAAATATTCATTAAAATTAGAAAATTGAAGACATCATCATCAAATGAACAAATCTGAGCGAGATCTACCTGTAGTAGCCATATATATAATAGCAAAGCAATCAGACTTACGGTTTTTAACAAGAAGTCGAAAATATCCTTTTTTTTACCAAAATTAGAGATTTAAAGATATCATCACAAAATGAACAAATCTGAGAGAGGTCCACATGTAGTACTTATTTATGTAATATTAAAGCAATCCGACTTGCGGTTTTTAAGAAGAAGTCAAAAATACCACTTTTTACCAAAAATATTCACCAAAATTAGAGAATTGAAGATATCATCACAAAATGAATAAATCTGAGAAAGGTCTACATGTAGTACCTATATATGTCATATCAAAGCAATTGGACTTTTGGTTTTTAACAAGAAGTCGAAAATACCACTTTTTACCAAAAATATTCACCAAAATTAGAGAATTGAAGATATTATCACAAAATGAACAAATCTGAGAGAGGTCTACCCAAGGTACATATACACCAAGTATCAAAGCATTGAGACTTGTAGTTTTCAGGAAGAAGTCGAAAACGTAAAACACTGAAACGGACGACACCGACGGACAATCACTCATATGATAAGCTCCGCTCGACAGCGAAGGTAAAAATGAGCAATATGTATAGTATCAAAGCAATCAAGACTTTTCAACAAGAATTCAAAAATATCAGTTTTTACCAAAAATGACAAAACTATTCAACAAAATAAATAATTGAAGATATCATCACGAAATGAACAAATCTGAGAGAGGTTTACCTGAGGTACTTATATGTATAAATATAGGTATAAAAAAAAATGATTATGAAAAAGTTCATGATTTGTTGGTGACAAGAGTTGACTTAGATGCTTTTAAAGGATTAATGTCAAGCTAATACAGATTACAATAACGTAGAAGTAATTACCTGTTTCACCGTAGTTTTAATAAAATCTTTCCTGTCAGATATATCAAAATCAGGAAACATAGCATATACTTGTTTACGAACAGACGTCATCGTGATTTCCTCAAGATTAGCACCGTCTAAAATTTTTTTAATTACTTCTTTTATTTGTGCATTCTGTGGAAGAAAATAAAACAAGACATAAATAGAATTGAATCACGATTCTTTACATCAATGTTCAGTCAGTATGGAAGTAGATTCTCATCTAAGAAAAATACTAAACATTGAACTATTGATATCCATTAACGCTGCAGGCGAAATCCTCTCTACACTGATCGAAGACATATTGCGAATGGAATACCAGAAGTTTGTTCAAAAGTTGTCTGTCAGCAGTGATTTT